GGAACCATAATCACCGGGGGTTGAGCCCTACCACGTGTATCTATATGACACTTAACCAGGCTGCCCTTGCCTCCCTCCTCTGGAAAGTAAGGATGAGATCTACTTTATAAAATGTGTAAGGCTCAAAAGTGGGTTCTGCCATGTTCTTTGAACTTCCATGTAAACATTGCTCACTTGGACCCTGTACTTTCCCTATCAGGTGCTAACCCCACTGTCTTTCAGTTGCTCATTTCCTTAACTATCTCAACTAGTTTGGACACTTCAGGTCATGGAACATGCTTGTCTTGCTCACTATTGTGTCTCTGTAGCCCGCTCGTAGGAATCAGTAATGTACAGTGTTCCTGACCTACCGTGGTTCAACTTTTATGATTTTTTGATGTTATGATGATAACTCATACAACCATTTTGTTTTTTTCACTTTCAGTATTCAGTAGATTGCATGAGATATTCAATACTTTTATCTTAAAACAGACTTGTGTTAAATAATTTTGCTCAACTGTACTCTAAAATGCGTGTTGAGCACACTGAAGGTAGGGTAGGCTAAGTTATGATGCTTGGTAAGGTAAGTGCCTGCAGGGGATCCAAAAATCCCTGGAATTTATTCTAAATAATTGTATATTTATCCATACACGTTTAAACTTCAGTCACTTTCAAAGTACTCTTCGTTTGATGCAATACACTTATTGAGATGCTGTTTCCATTGCTCAAAACAGTTTTGAACTCATCAGTTTTTGATGCCTTTTAGTGCTTCTGCATAACGTCACTCGAGGCAAGATCGGGTGAATAGGGAGGGTGGAGCACAGGGTCAGGCATTTTTGGTCAAAAGTGCTGAACACTCAGTATGATGTGGGCAGGTATGCTTGTAAATCACCCATCATGAAATGGGCAAATGCACTGAAATAATTGGCAAAAAATATTCACTGAAGCTGAAGGCAGCCTCTCACAACATTAGCTGGTCCACTGATGCTGAAGGGTTCCTAGAACACTTAACTAGCAGGGGAAGCCTGTACTATAAGTATAAGGGGTCTGCCCTCCAAAAAATAATTCCAGATTTTTGTGGTTCCTCCCTTAAATTCATTGCATTTTTTACTTATAATATTTACAACTTGTGATGAGTTTATAGGGATGCAACCCCATCATAATAAAAGAAGCATCTGTATACGAATGAATAAATGAATAAATATAAAGTCTGAAATAATATTATGTACTACCCAGTCTCACTAAATGAAGTTTTAAAACGTTTGATTTTTTTAAAAGCAGTTTTATACAGCTTTGAGATATAACTGACAGACAATAAACTGCACGTGTTTAAAGTGTACAATTTGGTAAGTTATGACATATGTTCACACCTTTAAGCCATTGCCACCATCAACATTATGAATGTATCTTTCACACCCCCAAATTTCCTCGAGTACTGTTAACCAAGAGGAGTTTTGCAGAATAGAAAGTTCATAGAATCACACACCTACATCAGAGGTCAATCTGGTCCTGTCTCAGTTTCCTTATCTGTGAAATGGTCTAATCAAACCCTTATCAGGGTGGCAGGAGACCAAGAAAATGTGACTGCTACTGTCCACCTTGCTTGTCCAATCTTCCCTTGTCTGGGACTGTCTCCCAGTTTCCTCCACCTGCTGAAATCGATCTCACCCTTCAAGTGCACCTGAGGGGCTGTCCATCTTGATGTGCTCTCTCTGATTTTCCTCTGTGTTTTATTTCTAAAGCCCTTGAGTCAGCTGCACATGACTCAAGCTTTCTCTTTTGCTTGGTTTCACTCGTATTCATCTCCTCCCAAACAGAGAGAAGGTAATTGATGTAAAGGTTAGATCTGTATCATAAATATTTTTTTCTCTATTCCCTTTATAACACCTGACTCAAGGCTAGGAATGCATTCAAAAGAGGCTTACCGACTGACTGGTTTATAGAAGAGTTTTCATCTCAAGAAATATTATTTTATTTTTCTGGTTCATCATACACATAATAGTGAAACAATACCCATGGTCAAAAAATAAAGAGAAATCACTCTACATTCCACTCCTGTTGCATGTTAGTGGTTGGATACTTTTCTTTTCCTTTCATTTTATGTCTATATCCACTGAGAATTTGTACAAAGCTCTGATCACAGTGTAGATGGAATCTGGCAATCTGCTTTTTTTCACTCAATATGCTACCATGGGCATTTTTTTTCATCTTGTGACAGAGTCTTCATAATTATCATTTTTAAAGGGCTGCACGATACTCAAGCATGTGGGTGTAGTATAATCTACTGAACTGTTTCCCTTCTATTGATTGTGGGGATCGGTTCTGAATTTTCACTGTTACAGACAATGCTATAATTCACCCTGTCGACATATGCTGAGCACTTAGAATGACATAGGAGCCGTGCTTGGCTATGAAACCAGGCAGCTTTGAGCCCGGAACTCTTCTCTTCTGGATTATTTCTGGAGGGTAGGATTCTGGGACAGAGGGTAGTATAAATATACTTGCTGCTTCCTAGTCATTTTCAGTCTAATCCAAGGGTATCTACTTAAAAACACAATAAGCCTTGAAAATTCACATTTGAAGAAGGGTAGTGGTGAGGTGGGTGTCAAATGCTGCTGCCTTCTGCTCTTCTGACATCAGCAGAAATCACTGATTTAGAGGCTCAGGGAGCAGGTCCCTCAGGGAGAATATGAGGGCATGGGACAGCTGCCTGGGGAAGGGACGGGCAGGAGTTCCCTGATTATGGGCTATCATGTTCTCAGAAGAGCTGCCATATCGCCATCCCTTTCTCTTCTCACTTCCTACGCCCTACCACCTCCAGCTACACTGGTCTCCTTTTCAGATTCTGGAATTTACGAAACTTTTCCTGACCCGGGACCTTAGCCCACAGCATTCCCCCTAGTTGAGAATGCTCTTCCCTGGTCAGCTTCTTATCCCTCAACTCCCAGCCAAAATCCCACTCTGTGATCGACAATGTTTCTGATTTCCTCACCAGCAAATGTTCACTAGCACCTTGCATTTCACCACCAGAGCACATATCAAAATGAGCATCAGTTAATTCTCTATAGTTTTATTTTTCTTTTGTCCCCTGTTCTTCAACTAGACTCTGGACTCCAGAGGAACAGTGACCCTCAAGGTGGGATTGCTGGATCTTCTGCCCCAACACTGTCCTTAGCCCATCACAGATACTCGGCAGAACTTTATTAAGCAGTTGTGTCCATGAATATATGAAAGAATGCCTACAAAAATATCACTGAAGGGGGGTGAAAGGAAAGATGACTGAAGGGACAACAGCAGCTCACTTTCCGGACCAGAGCCTGAGGAACTCAAAAGTAGGAAGAACTGCCTGAGAGCTGAGGAACTGAGCAAATGGATGTCTTCGAGATAAGTCTGCAGCCTCTAGACATCTGAGAAACAGAGAGTGAACTTCTCGTGTCTCCCTTTAAGCTTTCTTTTCCTATCCCGCTGGAACTGTTAAATTATATGCAGATCTCTATGTTCAAAATTTCAAAACAAATCTGAAAATTCAGACCATCAGAAGACTCTCCTTTGCAAGAAACTTCTCAACCTAAATCTATCACCTCAATCATCTCTCAAATCCATTCATCTTTCAGTTTCCCACCTTCATCTGTGATGGGAGAATATTGGTTCTTTATTAAGATGCATCTGGGCAACTCAATACCTTTGCACCTTACAGTTGAGTGCTCAAAAATGAAATTGATAAAAACAGTGTCAGGAGCTGTGAGTGGAGCGGATCCTGAGAACAAACCGTGAGCCCTGAGCAGCAGCCGAAGGGACATACAAATCATCTGCAACCATAGTGGCAACTGGGTTTTCTGCTGGTTTCCCTGTGTTGACACGCACATGGCCATCATCAACAGCTTCAGGATCACAGTTAATAAACCAACGTTCCCCAGATGACTGCGGCAGCCAGGAACTACTTTCCCAGCCCCAGCCTTCCCCCTTCTATTCATTCTCTCTGCACCCCCAGTGACTGCTCAAACCTCAGATCTGATCCTGGTACCACTATAGACTTTCAGTGGTTCCTGGTCACACCCAGGTTGGAGTCCGCAATTCCTAACTTGATGTGCGTGGTCTTTATGTGCACGTGACACCTGTCTCCTTGCCCAGTCTCACTTCATGTCTCTCCTTCCCTTACCTCCTCAATACTCCTTTGCCAATATCTGAGGTTAGGTCGGGTAGCCAGACATCCCTGAACTTGCACCCCATTAAGCTTTCTTGCAGTTCTCTCGGCCTCAGAGCTGCTTCCATTACTCAGTATGCAGGTATGCGACATCTCAGAACACGCTCTTTCCAGCCCTTCTCTTTCTATGGGAAACTTCGGTCCATGCTTCACTCTTTAGAGAGGCACTATCTGTACAGTAAAACCCTGGGCTCCAAAGTCGGAATGCCTGGTTTAATGCTAGGCTCCACCTTTGCTGCCTGGACCAGGCCTGCCTGGGTGCACAGCTTGACAACACCTCCCGGTTTACAACTGGTAAGGTGTGGCCAAGGATCTACCTGCTAGGGCTAGAAAATGAGCAGGGTGTCTATGCCTCCTGGGACAGGCCCATAAAAGCTTCCCTTTCATGACCCTTCAAATGCTCTCTCCCCTTCTCCCAGCTAGAAACAAAGGACCCTAAGATCCAAGACAATGGTGGAACCATAAGATGAAAAGAGCCTGAATGTCCTTCCAGAAGTTCATCCATCAGACATCCACCTCGGGCTGTCATGTGAATGAATGAGAAATAAACTTCTCTGTGTTGAAACAGTCTAATAGCAGCTAGTGGAACTTTAATACATTAGCTTTGAAAGTTACTTAAATATTTTGTTCCTCTGGGATAATAATGGGATCGTTAAGAGGATTAAATGAGCTAATACATTTAAAGTATTTGGCACAGAGCCAGTAACATTAAGCTCCCAATATTACTGATATTATTATCCCTCCTTTAAAAAAATGCCACTGTTCTTTGGGAAGAAAGCAAGGGCCAATCTGGTGCTCTTTAGATCAAATATCTTACCTTTTTACTTCTTGCACATAGTCTGCATTTCTATCAAAGAGATGGGTCACGGAGTCTTTGATTGCTTCATGCTTGAAAGTAGAGGCTGTTCCAAAGACAGTCACATTGGGTACAGTGGAACACAGCTGAGCCACAGCTTGGCCCTGGAAAGGAAATACAATAAACAAGCCACCCATAAGAGTCACCATTTAACAGCCAGTCTTGCTGGGTTTAAAACAAGATTTCTCAGCTTCGGCACTGTTGATATTTTTATAAGTAGGATTAGTCTTTGTTGTAGCAGGCTGAACTGTGCATTGTAAGATGTTTAGCATCATCCCTGGCCTCCACTTACTAGAAGCCGGTAGCACCCCCTCCTCTCAGGCGTGACAACTAAAAATGCATCCAAACATTGCAAAATGTCCCCTGGGGGAACAAAATACTTTGGCTGAGAACCACTCAATGGAAGTCAGACAACTCGAGCATCAAGATTTAACAACTGTTATTTAACCACACTGGGCTGTACGTTGGCAATAATGCTACTGACTCCATCAGGATCTTGGGGGATGTCTTAGTTTGGGTCCCCCAGGAGCAGAACTGTGACAAGGATTTGGATATAAGTCCTTTATTTGGAAGATAATCTCAGGAGATAACATGGTATCAAGACAGAAAAAGAAGGCAGATGATAAAGAATGTGTCATTCAGACCATATCTACTGTGGTCAACTGGAGCTCAGTCCCTCTGGGGAGCTCTGTGAGCAAGCATAGAGTTATGCTAGTCAAGGGGATGAGGAAGTTAGAGTGTTTATCCAATGCATTTTTTCATCTGATACTGGTTGAGGGCCACTTCTGCAGTAGTAACTCCTGTGCCCATCTGACTTGTTCTCCTGAGCCAAGCGTGTTCTATCGCCAAACAGAAGCCCTCAGCATGCAACCTTCAGCACGTTGAGTTGAATGCTGAGAAGATATGGTATGGTTGACTGCATCTGCTTCAGGGAGGTGTCAAATGAGGTATTATGTAACACAGGTCAAAGTCCTGCACAAAATGTGACATTTAATAGATATTCGATAAATCCTAATTATCTTTCCCCCTCAGAGACTTACTAGATCCAGAGTTGAGATTCCTGGACATATAAAGAAAAGGTTAACACAAGTTTTAAGTATTAATGATCCAGGAGAAATCACGACTGCATTTAGGAGTGGTTAATTCTCCATATCCTCTTTCAAAATGGTCAGAATTTAACTCATTGGACAAAATACTATGATAATGTACATTTAGAAACCTTCCAGTAAAACCCAATTTGCTGGTAATTAGAACGTATCCTAAAACCCAGGGCTGTCTCTTTCCAGCGTTCCATCTGCCATATTAAGAAGGGAAATTATTCTGCCAAAGTCATTTGTGATATTAATTTCTGCCCATCATCTTATTTTCACGTCTTCATGTTGGTGGACTAAATCAGGCTGGCAGGTCAATTTGTGGAAATGTTATCTTATCAAAAGTTGCAATTAAAGGCAACATTGAGAAAATCACAGAATGGTAGAGCTGGGAGATCATCCAATTACCACCTCCCTATCATTGTTTTATAGATGAAGGGAAGGAGACTCAGAAAGGTTAAGGTCACCCAGTTTTTCAGAAGCAGACCTTGGATTCAAAGTAAGGTCTTCTGGCTTCCAGTTATTGCCATTTTCTATTATGACATTTGAAGCTAATGTCCCTACCTAAAATAGACATGTTGCTGACATGCTCCTTTGGAGGTCAACATTTCAGAACGTGGGCGTGAACCTAAGACTCTAGGCAGGCTATGGTTCTTTGTTCTAAGAATAGCTTTGATATTTGTCTAATCCCCCCTGCCAGATCTCATAGAACAAAGAGCAGACTATCCTTCCCAGTGAGTGTAAATACCAGCAACCAATGCAGCAATTCAAATTCGCTAGTCTCAGATACGCCATAGTTACAGCTTCCTATCGACAGGGGTTGAGCTAACCTTCTTAGTACCAGGATGGGAGATTGGAATTAGTTCCAATATCCTTGTTGTCCCTTCTGACCTCTGCCCTTAGGCAAATATGACTCATCCATTCAACTATTTTTCAAATCTCCTTTATGTACTACTCACATCGAGCTATAGATGCCAGAGTCTGATATGATTTGCACGTGTTAGTCTCCAGTCTCAAGATGCCCGTTGAGTCCTAGACTTGCATCTCTAACTATCATTTTGGCATTTATCTCTACCTGGCTATCCTAAGAGCAACACAGCAAATTAAACTGATCCAACACATAACTCATGGCCATCTCCAAATGAGTCACTCTTTATATTCACTTTCCAGGGCTGTGGTAATGAAGTTCCATAGACTAAGTGGCTTAAACATCAGAAATTTATTTTCTCACAGTTCTGGATCCTAAAAGTCCAAGATCAAGGTATCGACATAGTTGGTTCCTCTGAGAGCTGTGAGGGAAAGATCTGTTCTAGGTCTCTCTCCTTGGCTTGTAAGTGGCAGTCTTCTCCCTGGGTTCTTTCATGTCATCATCCCTCTATGACAATCTCCGGGTCCAAAGTGCCCCTTCTTATAAGGACACCAGTTCTACTGAATTAGGGCACACTCTAATGACTTCACTTTAATTTGATTACCTTTACAAAGACCCTATCTCCAAATAATATCACATTCTGAAGTCCTGGGGGCTAGAACTTTAATGTATAAATTTCAGGGAGATGAAATTCAACCCATAACACTCCTCCTGCTGGACTCCCTGTTTCAGTGGATTGGACTGCACCACTCACCCATGGCTAAAGTCCGGAATCTGGGCATCATCCTGGACTCCTCTTCCTCCCTCACCCCCACTTCCAATTAGTCAGCAAGTGTATTTGTTTTTTTCTCCTTGACATCTCTTGTAACTGTCCCTTCTCAGCTTGGGCCATCTCATTCACTGCCCTGTTTTATGACAACATTTTCTAACTGGACCGGCTGTTTCCAAGTGTCCTCCTGTGGTCAGAGAGATGTTTCTCAAACACAAAACTGAGCATTTCACGATTTGTTTCAAAACTCTCAGTGCCCATCACGACTTTCAGAATAAAATGCATACCACTTAGTTTACCACACAAGAACAGCCCTCCGTGATCCGATCCAATCTGCCTCATTCACATATTCCTCCTCTTTTGTACTACCTACTCCCTAATAACACACGGAACTTGAGCCACCACGGCTCAACGTCTCACATGAGTATGGCCCTGTGCAGCCCTCTTCCCATGGCATTCTCAGGAAGAGATTTCACCTTATTTGATTTTAGAGACAGGTCTCACTCTGTCACCTAGGCTGGAGTACAGTGATGCGATCATAGCTCATGCAGCTTCAAATTCTTGGGCTCAAGCAATCCTTGTGCCCCAATCTCCTGAGCAGCTGGGATTACAGGCATGTGCCACAATGTCTGGATAATTCAAAATTTTTTTGTAGAAATGAGGTCTCACTGTGTTGCCCAGGCTGATCTCAAACTCCCGGGCTCAAGCAATCCTCCCTCCTTGGCCTCCCAAAGTGCTGGGATTACAGGCATGAGCCACTGCTCTTGGCCCAAAGTCTAAATTTCGTTAACATTTACAGTCTCTAACCCAAGCAGAATTTCACTATGACCCAAGCAGAATTTCACTATTTCCATTTTAAAGAGAAAAGATACATGTGGTAAAAAAGTGAGATAATAGAAACAATCCGGGTTACTTAAATACTTATACTATTATATGAGTATTATGTATAATAGGTGATATATATTATGTATAAATAATTATATATAGCTAAAATAAAGTATAGTTAGAATAATGTATAATTAGTGTTATATATTACTACCACTGGTATTATACATGGGCATGTGTAATTAGTATTTTATATGCTACATCTATAATTGGTATATCATATATTCTATTTAGTAATATAGAATTAGACTTACATTAGTAAGATAGTATAATTAGTATGCTATATAAGTGTTATATATAATATAATAATCTTCATGATTATATAAATATTACTGGGTATAAAACACAAATTCAGGACGTATCTAATTGCAGCCTTTTTGTTCTCTATCAACTCATTTAGGCAATGAGAGGCCTTCATAAGATCCTCAATGATTTCTAAAGTAACTAATGCTCAGCGTTGTGCATTTAAGCAGAAAAGTGCTTTCCCTCGTATGTATAGGAAGTCTGTAGTCTCCCTTCTCCAACTCCCAAGGTGAGTGCAGGATCAGCATCTCATTCATCTTTGTCTCTCCTACGTGCCTAGCAAATTGCATGCAGTCCATAAACATTTGTGCAAGACAGAATGAACTTTCAATAAAAAGGACTTTGCAATTTACCTCCAGACCCAGAATATAAAACGAACAAGACACTCCTTTCTCCCAGTCATTGCTGTAAATGAAGATTTGCGTGCACTTTTTTTTTTTTTTGCATGCACATGTTTTTAATCGACTTTCCTTTTCTCTCTTGAATGTAAGAATTCAGCACCATGTCTCCCCTTCTCCCTATAGCTAACAATAGAGCAGTGATAGCAGCTGTGGTTTCTTTTGTCCCACTATGGGGCAGGTACAGTACTAAAGTGCTTTGTTAAATTCTTAATCCACCTTTAGAGTGAGTATTTTTGTTTCCCTTTTATATCTACAAATGGGAATTCAGAGAGGACAGGAACTTGCCAAGGTTACCTGGCTTGTAAATGATAAAGCTGGGAGTCAAATCCAGGTACCTCTGATTTTAAGGCCACTCCGCTATTAATCTTCTTATCTGTGCAGCTAAGCACTCGAGTTGTAGTCAGAGGAACCACGGGTCCTTGCCATCAATTACTTGTTGGATAGCTTTGTCTCAGGTTCACATGGGTGAAGAGATTTTCAACCAGATGTTAATCAGCCCAATCCTTATTCCAAGGCTGCTGGGGTCTCCTCAAGCACAGCACAGACAGCAGAAAATCCAGGGACAGTAGTTATAAGGGAGTTGATTTGGGTCTCCGAAATACGACTCTTACCAACAGACGGGTACATTAAAGCAAGATCCTATACCAGAAAAGCTAAGCACAGTAAACGAATGATTACAGGAGTGAATGCATCTCTATAAAAGGCTTAGTACACTGCCTGGTGCATATTAAGCACTGAAAAAGTGCCAGTTTTTAGCTGTAACAGTTTTGAAATTGGGACTGAGCCC